CGTGGCAAAATCAAATCAAATCAAAATATTTAAATATTTTTAGCCTGAGTTGTTTGCTTGTCTTTACCCCATGGTGCATCGATGGTATTGCTAATCTTAAAACCTTGAATCCTGAACATTAAGATCATGTAAAGTGCCTGGGCCTTTTTGGGTGTTTTTATATAAAATAATTTGGCAGCATCAAGCTCCAAGAGAAGAATTTATGGATTATTTTAGGCTGAATCACATTTTGAGCAGCTGGGAGTACTTAAAAGCATGGACAATAATTTAGTTCCTTATTAGTTTCAAATTTTAAATTACAAGATCGTCCACAAGAAACTTTTTAAAATTAAAGAAAATCTTGAGTATAATAAAAAAATATCTTTAAATTTAATGAGTAAATATTTTGGATAATTAGCGTAAAACATCTCTATTGTTTGCCTTCACTTTGCGAATTGTTCCTACCTTTTACATTTGGGCATGCAGAACAATCATTATTTGTGTAAATGGTCATTTCATTCAATTTCTCTCCATTTATTTTGCCCTTGTCTGAGCCCCATTTTATAAAAAAATTATTTTTTTAAAAACTTATTTTCAACTACACATTCTTTAATAAAATAATTTTACACGTATATCAAAAAAGTATTTTTAATCACACAATCTCTAAATATCATTATTAAAAAATGCATTTTTTTTTCCTCCATGGGGCTCAGGGCAGAAATAGATACGTGCTTTTGCATGCGCCCCCTCAAATGTTAAATAAATAAAAAAACATATTAAAAACAAAATAAATAAGTAATAACAACAGAAAAAGGCTAGAAAAATAAAAATAATAAACCCACCTAATTCCCCAAACCCCACGCCCTGCCNAAAACAAAATAAATAAGAAATAACAACAGAAAAAGGCTAGAAAAATAAAAATAATAAACCCTCCAAATTCCCCAAACCCCTCGCCCTGCCAATCCTCTAGACAAGAAAAAAATATCTCTGAAATTTTCCATCTTCCACAAAGATAAAGACAGAATTCTGAATGATAAATGAATTATTTTCTATAAAAGCCAAATACAGAGATGAATTATTTCCATACCGAATATGAAATGGACAAGATGATAGATCACATATAAAGCAGGGGGACCAACATCAACTAATACTTATTGGACGAGCTACGAACGTCAAAAGTTACTTTTAAGTCCAAAACTTTCTCATTTCGAAAGTAACAGCTAATTTGGTTATAGTCACACACTAGGAAAAGTAAACAAACCCTTATCTTAGAAGATGAAAAATCCAAATCAAAGAGATCAATCATCTAAATAAAAATCTTTACCTCCATGATGAGTAGATGAACAACTCACTTATAAGTAGCTAATTTTCTTTAAGATTCCCGGACTCATTTGTCCAACTAAAATTCTCAAACCCAGAAAGTTCGTAGTAAAACTGCAGTCAAAGGTTGTGTTATATCTATGACGACAGAAGTTCTCACGAGGCCTTAGGCAGATAGGAACTTTTTAATATAAAGAGTGGCATAGTATTCGCTAGTAACCTCGTAGGAATATCAATGGATCTTCGACAATGG